TTAATGTTGAGAGTTTACAAAAGCCCCCAGTGACAGAGTCCCTTCATTTTGGGTGTGTGCACAGGTGAGATCAATCAATTCCTCAGTCCCCTGTGTCCTTACATTCAGCTTAAGTAGCATCCCACACGGTGGAAATATTCCAAAGAACAAAAATAGATTTGTCACCACTGTCATTTTTTTTACCAGAGCAGATGTTAAGGAAATGTGGTCCTGACTTAAATATGAAAATACTGTTTGATCAGTCAGATAACTACATTCCTGGCCCCATGTGTGGGACTTATCATTTAGCAATCCATATTTCCTACACAGAAGTCATTAGCATAGATATTTATTATGTTATTATGTTCATTTTCAACAAACCTATATTTGTTTTGCTTCTTTGACATTTTCATCATTTGCTAATGCCACCTGGGTTAACATTCAGTTAATGACACAAGTGACTTGAAATAGTAAATAGTTGTGCAATTTATAAACTGCAATATAAACAAAACAAAGTATGTCCACATGGTTATGGAAAGTTCTGCTTTGAATCTGAAGCTTTTGATTGATTAAAAGTTTAAAGTACAAATAGTATTTTCTGAACAGAGGAGCTTTCTTAATCACATTTTGCCTTTGCTGAAAAGTACCATCTGTTTATAATTTAAGAAAAGACACTTGTTGACTGTGTTAATTTCTCAAGAAAGCTCAATTCACTTGTAATTAAGGGCGCTCACTTGGCAGTTTGGTGAACACAAGTCCTTTGTTTATTCACAAAGCCAGCCATGTGCAGGCAGCACACTGTCTTGCTCTCTTACCCTCGTGCATCACACACCCAAGCAGATTATTGCTGCCAATTAAATCTGGGCCATCTTTTTGGGCAGAGGATGTGTGGTGAGAACACAGTTTGTCCCTGGGTAGGTCCTTTTGGATGGATACAGAGGATGTTTAACCCCACTGTCAGTGGGTGGGCAAACACCTCTGGCTTTGTGTCAGTACCCTGTGGCTGGATCTGGCAGGCAGCAGCCTGGCATCATCCTGGATCCCATCCACTCACCTTTCTTCATTCATTTCTCTTCTCTTCGTTCACTGACTGTTCTGGGATGGTCACACCCTGTTAAATTACTCAAAATAAGACTAACAGCAGTGGGACCAGAGCTGGCCCTAAACTCACGCCCAGTGCGCACCACAAGCTGATGCTTTGGGAGGACTTCAGCATCTTTGAGGAATGATTTTGGACCTTCAAAGACTCTAGGCTTGCAATAGGACTGAATAATTCACCTGGGGTCACACCAGGATTCTTTTGCTCAGGCCAGTCACTCTCAAACAAAAGGACCTAAACAGAAGGTGTAGTCTGATCAAAGACCAAGTCCTTAGCCAGGATGGCAGCCACAGGCAGCTCCCACTCAGCCATTCTCATCACATCAGCTTTGCCCAGGTGATATTTAGAAACCTGTCAGGGTCTTTGATAAAAATAGAGCCCATTTAAAAATCCAGAGTACTGCAATTACTCAGGTTTATCAAATTTATCAAATAAATTGTATAAAGGAAGTGGACTTAAAGCACTACAAAAGTTTTAATTAAAAATTATGTCAGTGTGTAAAAAGAAACCACCAACTTTTATAATTAAATCTTGGCAAAAGGATTTTAATGCAAATGCCACAGCACAAATTGCATTAACTGTGTAAAGCTACTCAATATGGCTTTCTCTGCTGCTTTGCTGATAGAGTAGGAAGAAGGATGAAAACACCATGCCAAAACCTCTCTGCACAGGAGTGGATATTAGTCACTTCAAATTCTTTCCTGTTTAATAGAAGGCATTAGTTTAACTTTCAGAAGGAGGAAAGTAATATTCTCAGTGGTGAAAAACAGCTGGGTATCATTAATGGCTTGAAAGTGGAGGTGGTGCTTTCAGCACTTCCATTTCACTTCCTCCTCCCTTCTCCCTCCTTTTCAGAGCCATAGATTTATTTTCCCTGTTCTCACTTAACTGATTCCCAATTATAGCTTTCTGGCAAAATGAAGCTGGATTTTTTGAGGTTTCCTTCTATATCTTGTCAAGCAAGGAACTGGTGCATAATATTCAAGAGATTTGCTTTTCCTCTGGGTTGTTTATTTTGTTGTCTGAACCACCTCACAAAAAATGTGAGAGAAGATTTCCTACTTCACATGAGCTCAAACCCCCTCATTCCTGACTCCTCCACAAGTGGAGCCATAACTTTTTGATCTCAAAAGGACAGACTTTTATTCTGTTCCCTCTTTTTCCATCAATGACTCTTGCCTCCACGCTGGTGGCTGCAGCCCCCTGTGAATTCTGCCCTGCAGAGCTCCTGTTCTCCCCTTGCCCTGCCCAAAGGCACAGCTGCAGCACAAGGCAGGCTGTGCTGCACACCCGAGGGGACATTTTCAGCCTCTTATGCCAAATCTGTGCATCTTCCTTTCTGCAATCCATTGGCAGGGGGAAGGACAAATAGAAATGGTTTTTTTATGTGGCCTAGTCCTTCTCTCTACTAATTGTTTCCTTGTCTTTGCAGACCAAGCCATTTTGATGGTTTCTGAGAAATAAGAAAGGAAAAGGCTCTGCCTTTTGCAGCAGCTGCTGCTGCTTGTTGCTGTCCCCAGGAAGGAGTTGTCAAGCAAAGAGGAATTTCTCTGGGGCAGTCCAATAGCTGAAGACCAGATTTTGCAGGGCTAGCTCCAGTCAGAGACAGAATGCCATTGTTAAGGATATGTCTGAAAAAGGTCACAAAACAGATAGGCAGAACTGTGTCTGTTTGTTTCCTCCTATGGCCAGGATCCAGTGCTATCTGGATATTATTGCACAGTCCTATATTAAAGATGAACTTCCCTGTTCTCCCATACTCCTCCCTCCACCTGATCCTGATACATGCTTTTCTCCTGATTACTGCTCATTCCTTTGGCAACTGGAGACCCTGCTAGCCTTTGTTTTATGCATGAGGAAAAGCCCTGGTGGTGCTCCTGGATGATCAATAAGTGAGTCACAGCCTGTGGCACTGAATTCTTTGCAGCTGTGCCCCAGGCAGGTTTCAGTGATGCAGCTGTGTGGGGGTGGATGTTCCTCACTGCCACCGGCTCCTCTGTTGCTGCAGCTTTAACTGGGGAGGGAAGTCCCGAGGTCTCACACTGCCCCGGGGATGGAGCAGTTACCAAATGAGGTAGGTGCATATCCCAAAGAGCACAGGCAGGATAAAGGGTTTATTCCTTTCCTCCAGGGGACTACAACTGGTTTCTCAGCCACTGAGGTCTTGCTTTCCTACTTTCTCCTTCCCCAGGGATCACTTTTCCACTTAAGAGGATTACCCTTGTTAACTTTAATTAATTTAATACTATTTTCTCAGTGCTTAGAGTTCTGGATTAAAGGTATCAGTTGCAGGTATATAGTTGTGTATACATATATATTTTAAAGTTTCTCCTTTTCACCTCTTTCCAATCTTCAAGGAGAAGATAAATATATTTTTCAAATCATGTAGTGTTTGTGTTGTTGGACTTGGCAGCATGTTTATGTCCTCTGATTGGAGTTTGGAAGACAGCTCTCAGATAGAAGGTTTGTTTGGTATCAAGGGAATATCTTCTCTTTATGTAACTTTTCTTTTTCTCTGTGATATAGTGTGAGTATGTCAGGAATATTCTACTTGAAGTTTATTATTTTTCCATTGCCTCCCTTTGTGAAGTGTTGAAAGAAAATCTTACAGTTATAGTGCTTCATACAGTTGTAATATGTCAAATAGGGGATTTTTATTTTTGACTCCCTTATAAAATTAAATGGCATTTTTTGCTTTTTAGGATTTTATTTATAATGATGAATCATTGAAAAATTGCAGTTTGATTTTTTTTTTTTTTTGGTGGGGGCAGAGGAAAGTGAATACAGCAGTTCCTTATTAGAATGCAAGAAGTTCACAAATTATTCTAAAATCAAAATGTGAGTAGGTGGATGAATACATAAACTCCTGGCAATTATTTTGCTTTCCAGACTGCATGGTGGGACTTGTATTATTTATATTCTGTCACAGATCTATTACCTACTAACTGTGATGAGCCATCAGCTGCAGATTAAGTTTTGAGCCAGTGTGCTTTTACTTGCATGATCACTTTGGTTTCAAAATAACCTTCATTCTCTTCCTGCTGCTCCTGGGGCTAATGAGCAAAGCTTGTCTAAAATACCCCAAATGCAGTTAAAACTCCAGAATTTAATTGCTGGTTAGAAAAAACTTTTGCTGAGAACATTTCTATTCCAAGCCCTGCATAGTCATTTAGAACCACCTGAGTGATGCTTACAAAACTCCTTTGGGATAAATAATTTATAGTGGGGCTGTTGATTGAATCTCTAAATGTCTTTGGGGTTTGCTCCGGTCTTCTTTGCTCATGAGCAACAAAATTTATATCTGAATAACTTCTTTGCTCATTTTCAAACACCGAAACTTCATTAGAGAAAGTGGGAATAGGTGAGGAAGTTTTGGGGATGTGGCACGTGCCCAGGTTTTGACTGGGCCATGAGTAGATCTAATGAAATGCTTACCCCAGTAGTTACCAACACTATGAATTGGGATCAAGACAGGATGTTTTCTCCTTATTTTCCTCAGCAGTAAGAGCACTTTGGCAGTGCCCAAGAACATCTTTTTTCTCCTTCCCATAACTAAATGTGCTGGTTCAAAAGTAAACCAGTGGGAGAAATGGACCCCACACAAATACCTTGAGAGAGGTTTCAGGTCAGTGTTACAATAAAGGCAAAGATACAGAAAAGCTGGCTTAAACCCACAAAGTACAGCCTGGCACCCTGCTGAGCAGGGTGAGGGTGGTGGGCACAGTCCAGTTAAGCAGCCTTGGTGAAAGCAGTGGTCCTGTAGGAGGACTGGTCCTCCTGTGGAGGTTTGGGTCCTCCTCTGGATCTGTCCAGTGGTGGCTGTTCCAAGTCCCCAGAGCACCCAGATCATACCTGGTCAGGTTCAGGCAGGAAGGTTCAGTGCCTGCTCCTGGGCAGGGAATCTCACAATGGAAGGTGTCTGTGACTGTGGTCATGTGCTGGAGATTAAATCTTGATCTGTGCTGCCTCTCCAGGATCTGCTCTGGTGCCATCTCAGGCTTTTGCTGCAATGCCTCTCCTGGCACAGTGAGGGGCTCTTCTCTTTGGAGAGCAGCTGTGCCTCCCTGCAGACCTGCTCCAGCCCCACCTGCACTGCCCCACTGCAGATCTGCTTGTCCAGGTCTCTCTGCCCCCTCCTGCAGTGATCTGGAGATGGGATTCATTCCAGCTTTGCATCTTTTCCTGATTCGATTCTGCATCAGGCATGTCTTCTTCCAGAGCACTAACTCGAGGCTGGAGTTGCTCAGCTCCTTCCAGAACGTGTCATTTCTGCAGCCAAGGCAGGATGACATTGCATACACGTTCTTCATGGAGCAGCTCATCACTAAATTCATCCCTGTGCATCTGCTCACATCCCCCTTTCCTGTCCTGGTGTTTTATTCTCCAGCAGTCACTGTTCAGTGGTTCCAGGTACCTGTAGCCATCGATGGCAGTGCCTGCCAGCCTCATGGACACCTCTCCAAGCATTTGGACATCCTTGACGTCCTCATTCTTTAGGAACTCCACAGTGATGCCCTTCTTGGGCTGGATCTGCAGCATCTTCAGCATCAGGCACAAGATGGGTTTAATGGGTTTAATGCTCCCTCCATAGACACCCCCATGCACTCGAGCTCCATGGCCTTGTCCAGCACCAGTGTGAGGCCAAAACACTCCTCCTTCCAGTGCTTGGGGCTGTAGATGCAGCTGCAGATTATCTCCTCCAGGTCCTGCAGGCTGGTGCTGTGGATTTCTGCGTGTCCTTCACTGTGGGGTTGGCATGTGGCAGTCCTGCTCACATCACAGCAGCTCCAACTCTGCTCCCCTTCCTTGAGGGGCCGCTCCTCCTCCTCCTGCTCAGTCCCTGTGCTGGCCTTGCCTTCCCTCCTCAGAACAGGGGTGACTGCTACTGGCTTCGACTGTCCTGGCTCAGTGATGGTGTGGTACCTGCTGCTTTTTTCTCCTTTTCCCTCTGGCTTGGCTGGATTGAAAGTAAACCAGCAGGAGAACTGGTGGTCAGGGTGGTGGCTGCAATGGCTGCAGTCCTGCCAAAAGCAGCGGTGCTCTTGTGGAAGGTCTGGTCCTTGTCTGGATCTGCCCAGCGGCGGCTGCTCCAAATCCCCAAAGTGCCCAGGTTATGAAACGTAAACTTTAAGGCATTTAGAGATTTTGAGGAGCTAAGATTTTAGTTAGAAATAAGTCTTACTAGAGTTAATTAAAATAAGAATAATAAATGAGTAGGCCTTGATGAAGTTAGGAGTTAGTAGTTAACTAATAATTAATTGCTTGTCAGCACAATGTTTGGTTAGCTGGGTTTATAATGAAGAATATAGAAACTGATAAATAGCTTTTAGGAACATAAGACAATTGTGGGCCTCCTCTGTTCTGAAACCAATTGAAGACAAGGAATGGGAGTTCTACCAAGAGTTCATTTGTCATACTTGCATTGAAAAGGTAGAAAGGTCAGAACGAGGAAGACTTCATTTACTTCCTCATTTTGGGACCCCTCCCCATAAAAGGGACCACCGACCCATTTCAAGGGACAAACTACGCATGCTTAATAGCTTTTGGAGTGATTAGCATATGAAGCGGGGAATGGGATGTACCAAAATTATGAATATGCATTTGTATTTTGTATATTCAATACTTGTATGGATAAAAAGACTCTGTAATCACCTGGAAGGTGCGGTGTGTATTTGGGAGCTGTCCCGCACGCTGCCCGGCGTCAAATAAACATACACTTTCTAACTTTAAACTGTTAGAGAGTTTTTGTCCGTCACAGTTGGATATCGATACTAGATCAATATCCATATTTTTTAATAAATCAGTTACATATGGTCACATTCAGGCAGGCAGGTTCAGTACCTCCCCCAGGGCAGGGAATTTCACAGTGGAACAATGTAATCCTGTGAGTCACAGGATATTTTGGGGGACTCCCTGATGGGTTCCAGCTGCCCACCGGGGCCATTGGCAGAGAGAAGCCCCTTGGGCTGGGCGTAGCTGAATCAATTTGTGAAGAAAAACGCTGCCCTGCCCAGGGTTTGCCCCTTTCCCTTTTCTCTCACCCTGCTGCAGCCTGGGCTGTGCCCTGGGCAGCTGCTGAAAGCCACCCCTGGGAGTCCACCAGGGATAATGCAGCGGGGCAAAGCCGTGGTTTGGTTACACCCCAGCTGTAACAGCGCCCCAAACAACAAATAAAGTGCAGAGAGTGGGAGTAGAAGTGATAAGACCGATCTACAGGAGCTTTTAGTAGCTCTGTTCCCAGGAAATCCCTGCAGTGGCCACGGGCACAAGTGTCCCTGCTGAGGGTGTGTGTACATCCCCTTCCACCCTTGCTTCAGGTGTCTTGCCAAAGCAGAGCTGGGGGCTGCTGGTGGGAGGATGATGATGGTCTGGTGCCTGAAATGAAGAAGAAGCTGTCAGTCCCTCACCCTTTCTGCCTGACATGACCTCCCACAATGCACACAGGATTTTCCCTGCTCCTGCCCAAGCATGAGCCTCAAACAACGCTACAAATTCTGCATTTACTGGACAATAGTTCTAGTCTTATAGGATCTTTTCTTTGATCAGGGAAAAATTTTTTGTTGTGTTCTTAGTAAATGTGACTCAGGAAGAGTTTTACTTTGATTTTAAGAGGAAGAAAGTTATTAGATTTTCAGCCTGGAGAAGAAAAGGATCAGGGATACTTCAGTGTGGCATCCCAGTATCTTAAGTGGGGTTATGAAAAGGAGAGGGAGGAACTTTTTATAGGGGGACAGAGCAACAGGACAAAGGGCAATGGTTTTAAAGTGAAGAAAGGCAGGTTTAGAGCAGATGTTAGGGAGAAATTGTTCACTGTGAGGGTGGTGAGGCACTGGCACAGGTTACACAGAGGAGCTGTGGGTGCCACATCCCTGAAAGTGTCCAAGGCCAGGCTGGATGGGGCCCTGAGCAGCCTGGGATAGTGAGGGGCATCTCTGCCCAGGGCAGGGGAGCTGGAAGTGGATGACCTTTAAGGCCCCTTCCAACCTAAACCATTCTATGATTCCACGACTTTAAATTCTACAAGATACATCAAAGATTTCCTGTCAATTTATAAACCCCTTTCCTCCAGCACTGAAGCATTGATGCATCTTTTCTATGGAATGAAGCTGGAGTTTAAAGCAAAAATCTGTTTGTTGGTATCTGCTACTGCATCTCTATCTGAAACTTGATTTTGCAACTAAACTGAACTAGTGATGCCATTTGATAGCTTAAGAACCTCATTAAACAGCCTATAAAGGACTAGTTTATAATTATTTATAATTTAATCATGCTTTAAGAGAAATAACTATCTGTAAATCGAAAGATGTCTAGTTCATTACTTTGGTTGTATTTCACCTTGTGCTTTTCTAATCCTTTAGCTGAAGGACAGGAAAGGATTTTAGTTTTCCCTGACAGTGCATTTTTTCTTTAAGGACAAGTAAATGAAAGAAAAAATAATAATACCCAGGACAAAGTGCTGGATGTAATAGCTCTGATCTAGGGAAATGTCTTCATGCAGAAAAGGATTTTAAGTGTATTTTAACATTATCATCAGCTTCAGTAAGCAAGAAGTAGGTGTGTGTTTCCAGAATAAAAAAATCAGCTTAGAACAATTTCCATGCTTAGTCCTTCTCCCCAGGAGGGACAGGAGATCTGAGTTCCTTGATGAATGAGAACAATGAATATGCAGATCCAGTGCAGCAGCCTCTTAAGTCCTCTCAGGGACCAGGTAAAAATAGACAGATCAAATAGAAGTAGGGGAAATCTCAGTGTGTATCTCACATCACTGGCTCTTTGAAATACAGAGAGCCTGAAGCAAAGTGAAACCACTAAATGCAAGGACAGGATGGCAAAACTGGAGTAAGAAATTTTCAGGGAAAAAAGAAAAAGGAGTTTGAAAAAGTAATAAATGTTTCATTACCTTAAATTCTGAAAGGATTTTAATCAATAATGGGAAAAGTACCAAAAATTTCTGTATCTCAGTATTGATTTTTATGCTACATTTATCCTTTGAAAGGCACAAGCAGGTCACTAGTGAATCAGATAGAAGAGTCCTGAAAAGCTGAGGACTTTTATCACCTTCAAAAGCTAAATATTTGTCACTCAAGATCACAGTGAACATTTATTTTTGGAAAACCATTAGCTCCTCGTAGTATGTAAGGGAGAACAGTCCTGGCTGTCAGACAACAAGCCTGATGTTTCTTTTGCTGTCAGTAAGGGTTCATACACCATCCTTTCTGTTTGAAAAGAAGATTATTTTTTCTAGCCTAACAAATATTTATTAATTTACTTTGGCTTTTCAGTTAATTATTACCCAGCATTGCACCATTTGCAGATTTGTGACCCTCTTTATTACAATTTTATGTAAAACCCATGGCATTTACATGTTGGACTTTGTATAAATAAACTCTGGACCAACCAGAGGGTCTGTAAAAGAAAACAAATACCGTCCCAAAGGTTAAAAATCTCCCCCTCCCCTGAGGGAGCTTGCCAAGCTCTGCATTTGTGTGAGGGTTTTCAGGGCTTGGACTGTTCACTGCTGGTTTCCCACATGGATCCTCTGCCAAAGGACAATGTGCAGCCCTGTAGTAGCAGCAGTAGCCAAGATGCCCATTGTGCAATGTTTATTTTACAACTTCCCTTTATTAGCTTGCCAGCCAGCTTTCTGTTTAATTAAAGTATAAACTTAAGTGCTTGAAAAAAACAAACAACTCTACTCCTTTTTCAGTATCTCATTTCAGTGCCCTCTCTGCTTTATCATTACTTTTTCTTAGCCCTTTTTTTTTCTTCCATTGCTTCATGAGGAAGACAATATTTTATTTGAATATTAAACATGCATAGGACATAAAGAACAAGGAAATCTCCAAGTTAAGCCTTCTATCTCGATATGCTTTACAACTTCATTTCAGTTTTTCCTCTAATAGCCTACCAAGATGATGATAAACTGCTCCAGATAACCCTTTTTCCTCAACAGAGATCAAAATATTGTGTTGGGGTAAAAAAGGGATTTGTTAGGGAATGATAAATTAACACCATGACAGTTCATAATAAATTTCCTGGAAAAGCTGACTCTGAATGAAGGGGAATGTGCTGGGAAGGGCTGAGCAGCACCACAGTGGGTCAGAGCCCAGCTCTGCTTGGCTGCACCTGGCGGGGCACCAGCAAACAGCTGCACCTGGATCCTGTGAGTAAAGCAAGAATAAACTGGTTAAATTAATGCTGTGTTGTTCTGGGGAGTTGTGAAGATGAGAAAAAAAGAAATAAAACCCCAATGCCCCAAAACCCCTGCCCCCATTGGTTCTTCTGTTTTGCAGGTAAAAGATGATCGGGATGTTAAAAATAGCATGGTGTCTATAATTTATTCAGTTGTTTTTATTTCAGGTTTTGGTGCCCCAGTTAATAGATATGGTATTCAGGCTTTCTTTGAAAAAATAATATCAAACTTTCCCTGCAGATAGGGATTATTTGACAAGGGCTTTGTGCTGAGAGTCTGCCTTAATAATTCTGTGAGCTGTAGTAAAAGAGTTACAGTGAACCTGAAACTCAATCCCAGCATCTTTTATATTCTTCCAGTGTCTAATGTCTGTAATTTACATAGAATCTGCTCTGAAGACTTTTTCCTCTTTGTGAAAAAACGCTTCTTTTGCTCTTTTAATCAGACAATTGCTTCCTCTTGTATTATTGACAGGTTTTGCCAGGTAAAGTGGGGAAAATTTGAGTTGCACAGTTTCATTTCTTCTCATTTTTGATAGATGTGATTATTTCTGTTGATTTTTTTTCTAAAGATTATAGGTCTTCAGGTAGAGAGCTTTACACAGTAATTATTCCTGTCAGGATGAAAGGGGGAATAAATGAACTTGTAGGTATTTGCTATTTACATTGATGACATTCAGCCTTGGTCTAAATGTCTTGTCATTGTGTTTACAAGATAAAATAACCTCTGTGTTTTGGCACCAAATTTTGCTGCCTTTCTTAATGTACACAGTCCAAGCTGTCAAAACAAGTAACAAATAGAATGAAAAGGAAGCGCTGAAATCTGTAGAAGATGTAGACAAAAACTCTTTTTCTTATTGAAAAGAGAACTGAGCACACGAACCAAAGAGACTTTTTCCATTAATGCTCTTCCCTGAATTTCTGTTATTGAAAAGGTGCTTCAGCACTGAAAATCAGAACTTGCATTAAGATTAGAGCTGATTTATTCCATATTTTCCTGCTAAGTAAAATTGGCTTCTATAAATAAATAGACCTGTGTGTTCCAGGCTAATACCCTTTTACTCTGTGTTGTAATCTCTGTAAGTGCTGCAGTTCGGATATTCCAGGAATGCACACAGAACATGGACTGCTGGTCACTGTGCTCCTTGCATTCTCATAAATATTCCTGTAAAGAGCCTTAGGAGTTGTCACACATCCAAATCAGCACTAGGCAGCTCTCAGTAAATGTTTTGCTTGTGTTGTAAGTTTTTTCAGGCAGAACTACATGTATATCCTAAATTCAAATATCTTCAGCTAACATGTGACAAAATACTATTAAAACCTGTGAGGTTGTTTTATTTACCCCAAGATTCTAATTTAGGACAGTAATACAGAGGGCATGCCTGTGACAAACTGGATTCCTGCAGAAGTTTTGGAGGGAGGCAGATTTTTTTATTTCCCTTTGTAGCTTGGTTTTGAAATATTCTCCTTGTACCTTACCCTAAGAATTTTAATGAAATCAATTTTGTGCAGGAGGCTCTGTTTCAGTGTGAAAAATGCCACTGCAGGCTTGGTACTGAAGACATCATTTCTTGTGAGCATAAAATCATGCACTAATAAAGTAATAGTTCAATTGGGGCTGCTCTACACAGGCTCAGGCCCAGCAACTTCACAGCTGGTTTTGGCTGAGGTGATGCATATCCAGTGTGGGGGATAACTCAATTTGAATGAAGGCAAACATCTTTTGCCTTGCTCTTCTGTATTTATTAAGACTTTCCATTTACCTATTTTATGGAAAATGGTAATGAAAAGCGGTAATGGCCAGCTAGGCATATTTTATCTGTCCACAGAGAGGGTCATATTTTCTTCTACCTCTGTATATTAATAATGGCAATTTGTTTGTTTCTAGTTTTGATGTAGGAAAGGATGTTTTCCTTTATTCTCAAGCTTGTAGTATAATGAACCTTTCCTTTAACCAGTTAACATATGAAAGTCATAAGGAACTGGACTTGGATGACCTTTGTAGGTCCTTTCCAACTCAGGATATTCTATGATTCTGTGATTCTATAAAGTAATTAATTCACATTATATTGGCATTTGTTCAAGTGGATTTTTCTAAGAGCACCTAGAAGTTGATGTAGGTACTTTTAACCATGAACTTTGACTTGTTCCCAGTGATTTCCTCCAGCAGCTGCCCAATAGCTTGTACTGAGATGAAGATTGTAGAGTACTAATTTTGGTGCATAGGACTGATCCGGGAAGCAGCGATGGTGTTTTCTGGCAGGGTGCCCAGTGCCATGGCTGGGGTCACACCGGGGTGTGACAGGTTTGGGCTCAGTTCCTGCTGAGCGACACTGGGCCAGTGTCACTGTGTTCTGTGGTTCTCCCCTTCCAGGGGGCAGCAGCAGCAGCTCCCTGCTGCTGGCAGAGGATATTGTGGGAATGGGTTGGCTTCAATACCGTCCTCTTGGAATCAGCTGCTGAACTGCTCAAAAATAGCCTCCTTCCCTTGTTTTGTCAGGAAAGTACTTCATTATCCCAGCTCAGGATTAATAGAGCTGTTTGATGAGTCTGCTTGGGAGAGAGGGAAAGAAAAGCTTTCCAGGCACTCCTTTGGCTAATGGCTTATCCAGCTTTAACAAGTGACACAGCAGCAGGCCTGACCTCCAGAGAAGGGTGCTCAGCATGTTTGTACTTGGTAATTCACTGCCTCTAGCAAAGAACTGATGGTATCAGCAGGTTTGCTCAGCTCAGGGGCTGCACATGTGGATCTTCACGAATCTCAGTAAAACCGACCGCTAAGCCCCTGGAAATACAACACCCTGAGAGCCCCACACCTACAGAGACAGTGCCTGTCCCTGAACCCAAATTTATTCCATGACATGATCAAGGTGCACTTTGTCACAGTCCAGAAATTTACCCTTGTATTACGGGTTTTGCCAGGATTTGGAATGGAAAGCTCTGGCTGAGTGGCAGCCTTGGTGTTACAAGCCAATATTGGTACCTGCTTTAGCAGTGGCTGGGGGTGGCTCACAGATTAATGCCCACTGCAGTCTCAGACCCTGAGAACACAAACAATGTACACATTATAAGCACCAGAAGTCAATTCCCAAAAGGCAAAATGTTAGTTTCTCTGCAGTTAGAACTGAACAAGAAGTTAAGAAGCTCAGTTGCTGTATCCTCCTTTCCCTGACTTTCAGGCTCTTACACAAGCATTGCAATGATCAGGATTCTTTACCAATTTTACCAATTTTCCAGGCCATTTTGGCTTATTTGGATGGAGGATCAAGTGTTTGGGCACAAGGAGAAGTGCTGATTGCTTTTAGACACCTTCAGAAGCCGGGGGATGCTGCAGAGCAAGATTGTATGAGTTCATCTCTGGGGCTTCAATTCCTTTAAATTACTTTTTCCAGGTAAATCTCTGGACACCTGCAAGCCCTTCCAAATTCAAGAAATCTTTTACTGATAGTTCCTAGGTCCTGCAGCTCACTGTGGACACTGACATGTCAGTGGAAATGGTTCAAAACTGCACTAGGGAAGATTTAGACTGGATATTAGGAAGCATTTCTTTACTGAAAGGGTGATCAAAACCTGGACCAGGCTTCCTGGAGAGGTGGTGGATGCCCCAGAGCTGTCAGTGTTTCACCCTTTGGACAATGCCCAAAACAATGTGCTTTATCCTGCTCAGCTCTGAGGTGCTCAATTCAGTGTATGCAAGTGATCAGTCCCTCTGGGACCAGCTCCAGGCTACCACTAAAGTAAATTATTTGCGTACACACATCTCAATTCCCAAACATCCTGCTAGCAGGGCAGGTAAAGATCAGGTAAAACTATCAATATCTTTTGATCAGATGAAAAGAAAACCAAAACATATATGAGCACCTATCTTGTGGTTCGTTTCATGAATACTCCCTTTGTAAGGAACTTTTCTTTGTTAAATTCAGTGATTCAACTCCAGTGGAACAGCACCACAGCAATTGCAAAACTCTGTATATTGGAAAGTGAGAAACAAAAGAAAAAATTACCTTGGAGAGGCCTGTGCATCACACCAATGTAAATTGAGACCAATTCATATTGGTTTTGCTTTCAAAATCTGTCAGGGATGATAAAACTGATGGATGCAGAGCAGGTTTTAACTGGAGATCTTGCCAACTACTCCTCCTGGGAGGAACAGGGCACTGTTTCAGTGCTCAAGTAATGCTGTTGTTCTTTGTAGGGAATGTCTGAAATCTTTGAAAAGGGCTTTGGGATTAACCTGTCAGAAATCCTGAACTACTGCAGTGTGGGAATAAATGTGACTTGAAGACTAAGAAGTTTGTCTTGAAGGAGTTTTAGATTTTACCAGCATCTTCTCCTGTCAAAGCTGATGAGCAAAACCAAATCATATAGATTTAATGCTACTAGTGCACCTTGCAGAATTAGTGCAGCACATCTGGCAGCCTTGCCTTAAAAAAAATCAAAAAATAAGAAAAAATAAAAAAAGCAATAGGGTTTTCAGTGAAGGTGTGACATTTAGGGCCTTAATCTAGATTATATCTCTCTATACAGCACATGTGCAGTTTAATCTGCTGCAGACTTTTCATTCTTGATATCTGAAATGGTGGCAATCTGAACATACCACTTGGTAGAATGTTTATGTTGGTACATTCCCGAGAATCATCCCTGAGCTAATGAACTCCATTGTGCTGTGTACCCCCTCAAGTAGAAAAGAGGAAATCAGAGAGAAAATTAGGCTGTTTAATCGCTATTTATTACAAAATAATATTGAAAGTATCATTTATATTTTATCTGACCATTTTTCATGGCTTTTGGGAAAAGGGCAATAAGGGCATAGTGACAATAATGGCAAACTTGGTGATCAAGTTTGTTTGCAGATGACACCAAACTGAGTGATGCAGGAGTGATGCACCTGAAGGTCAGGAGAGCACCCAGAGGGACCTGGACAAGCCTGAGCAGTGGGACCATGGGAATCTCAAGCAGTTTAACAAGACCAAGGGCTGGTGCAGCACCTGGCCTGGGCAATCCCAGGCAGCAGCACAGACTGGGGAAGAGCTCACAGCGAGCAGCGCTGCAGAAAAGGACCTGGGAGAGCTGCAGGGTCAGAGGCTGGCCTTCAGCTGGCCAGGGGCACCTGGAGCCCAGAAAACCAATGGTGTCCTGGGCTCTATCAAAGAGGAGTGGCCAGCAGGTCCAGGGAAATTATTGTCTCCCTCTACTCTGCTTTCATAAGACCCACCTGGAAAGATAACCACTATCAGCAGAAGTTAATCCCAATGTCTTGAACACAGTATCTAATAACTACACCAAAGTACCAACACAGCTTTCTCTGGATGTTCCTCACTATCACCTTACTTTTCTCACATCTGAATACTGAATATTGTTAATAAAAATAGCAACTGGCTGTAGTTCTCCAAAAATGCTGTCACTAAACTCTTAAATCTGCAGTTTCAAAAGGAGCAGTTCAGACTGGCTGCCCCAAAATCAGAGACGGAGAAGCAGATGTCCTGAGAAGTGACCAGGACCATGAGAGGAGCCCAGGTTTGAGGGTGCTGGGATTTCTGAATCCTAATGGCACAGCACAAGTGTTGACCTCTTCATGTAAGAAAGTGGCATGACCGGTGCAACACATACATTTAGGTCACACACATGTGACAGGGCACTGTCCCACAGGAGCCTGGAGAGGCCTTTGCCTGCAACTGGCAAAGGCAGGTGGAAAAATGTGACAACTGAAAAAGAACATGCCCTTATAAATGATCTGAACTTCTGCAGAAGCTAGAAAAGCCCAGACAAGACAGAATTAGTATCTGAGAGACAGCAAGCTATTCCTCTGGATATGAAAGTGGTCCCTCATTTGTCAGGGCAGAGAACTTCTTTCAAGAGTTTCCTTTCTAGAACAAATTTGATGCCAAAACTTGCGAGCTGGAAAAAGAGCAAATTGGTTATCTCTCACTTCCAGTTTTAAGGAACAGTTTTGAAAACTACTGGGAAACCTTTACACACTCTGCATTTATTGCTGCAATAAACTCGCTTTAGTTTTTAAAGCCAAGCACCACCACGTGGGAATTTTACACACTTGGTGGTTTTCATAGCTCATGAAAAACATCTGTACTCCCCTCCTTGGTGCAGTGATGATTCCAGTCTCACCCAGGATATTTAAATAGTGTAGCCATATTAATGTAACTCCCTGCCACTGCTGTGCTGCCATGGGGTGATGCTCACAGCAGATCCTGCACAGGTGGGAGCACACAGACACAGCCAGCGAGGACGCCCTGGCATCAAGAGATAAAAGAATGTCTGGTTTATGAACAATCAGTTTTGAGACAAATGGAGGTTGGGGGAAATGTAAAATCACCTACCTGGAACAGCAACCAAGCCATGAGGCTTCAGGATCTGTGGTGAGGAAAGTCACCCGAGGCTCTCCACCACCACAGCTCTCACCATGAAGCAAAGCAAGGCACATACAGAAACTTAGAGGGAAGGATTCACAAGCTCTCATAAAGCACAAGTTCTCTACAGTTTTCTCAGACCCTGCTTACTCCCATCACCCACCTGGAAAGAGTGTTTGTGTCACCTCCCTGTCCCTGGGGGTCAGGGGGCTCCTCCACGTGGGTCTGTGTGGGCAGTCACACCAGGCGCTCTCCAACACACACGGTATTGCCAAAAGCCACTTCTGTCTTGCAAAATCATGATTTCACTGAATGGCTCAAAAGTAGAGTAACAATTTCAGGTGAAATAAAACATAATCCCCCAAGCCTGAAATGTGCAAGTCTGGTTCAGGATACTTTAGAACAATCCAGCAGAGAGCCACTGAGAGTTTGGGATGAATATTTGAGCAACCAATGTCAATGTCAGAACTTGGCACCAACTGCAGAACACACTGTTGGGCTGCACCAGTTTGGAATCAGAATATCACATTCTAACCTATGAAAACTTTCCCCACCTAGCAGCTTTTTTCCTCAAGTATTCCATATTTTCCCTAAACTTCTTTTCCTAAAACTCGTCAAAAAAATTAAGAAGCCTTTAGTCAAAAGCAAAGCAGCACCTACATTGCACATCTTTAATTCCCAGGCTTTGTGGCTTAGTTTCTAAAGCAGTAATGGAACCATATTGACTTCATTTTTAAGTAAACCTGGCAGGAGAGATTTTGTTAATGTCAAGAAGGAAGAAGGGACAATGAATTTGTAGCTTCAAAATGCAGCTTGCAAAAACAGCAAATACGTGCAAGGTTCTAAGTCTTGCGTGTCTGGAAAATTACCTGCAGGTTTTTTTTTTTTTTTTGTTTTGGTTTAGTTTTTTTTTGGTTTTGTTTAACTCAATACATTACTGTTTTCTAGAGAAACAGAGTATTTTCCTAAGCAGAGTGGTGCCCCTGAAAAAGGCTTTGGCAGGTCTGGCCTGGCTCTACTGTCAGACTAGAACGTGTCATAATCATAGATCCTCCAGCTAAAAATTAACAGAGCCCCTTCTCACAAGGTTTCCATAAAACTTCAGGCAGCCCACTGAGTATGGAACACTTTGAGTCCAGCCATTCAGACAAAATCAGGTATCAACCACCTCCTTTGAAAAGTGCATTTCCAAGCAGAGATGGTGCAGTAAAGAATACACAGCACCTACTCATCACAGCATGGACTAAAAGCAGCAGCACTACATTCCAGGAATATTTACCAGACCACAAGACAAACTATCTCTCAAAGAGCCACGGGTTTAAGACATGGTTCACTGCTGCCAAAACCAAGTTATTCTGAGGAATTAATCAACCAGTTTTATGTAATTCAGGCAGATCTGCCTCCTCATGACTGCAGGGAAACAACAAAAAATGGTGAACACTTGTTAGACTGGTGTCTTTTGGCTCGGCGTGGTCTCCATTAGCACAATATACTTTACGGGTATCTCAACTTTTGTATTTTTTTTTTTTAATCAGTTTCAACTGCGATGATTTCTCAAGTGAAAAACAAATGCTTAATTAAGATACAAACATCTCCTGAGACTGTGATAAAGTCAACTTGGCAAAAAGAACGCAGAATGGAATTCTTACCTGTGTTTCCTGACTGAAGCACAGCAGGTTGGTGAGCAGGAAGGTGATGAAGGACCTTCAGAGTGCGTGACCAGAACCCAGCAGGGGCACAGCTCCGGAGCTGTGGGGAGCTGGTGCCATGGAGAACAGGGCCCTGGAAAGTGCCTGCACTCCCACTGTGCACTTCCACCTCCCCACCCTCTCCCACAGCAGTGCCTTTCCAAGGTGTGAGAGCAGCACAGGGACTCC